GGAGGAGGAGAGGAGGAGGAGGAGGAGGAGGAGGAGGAGGAGGAGGCGGAGGCGGAGGCGGGAGGAGGAGGAGGAGGAGGAGGGAGGAGAGGAGGAGGAGGAGGAGGAGGAGGAGGAGGAGGAGGAGGAGGAGGAGGAGGGGGAGGAGGAGGAGGAGGAGGAGGAGGAGGAGGAGGGGAGGAGGAGGAGGGAAGAGGGGAGAGGAGGAGGAGGAGGAGCAAGAGCAGGAGGAGGAGGAGGAGGAGGAGAGGAGGACGAGCAAGAGGAGGAGGGGGAGGAGGATAAGCAGGAGGAGGGAGGGAGGAGGAGGAGGAGGAGGAGGAGGAGGAGGAGGAGGAGGAGGAGGAGGAGGAGGAGGAGGAGGAGGAACAGGCGGGGGAGCGGGAGGAGGAGGATGAGGAGGAGGAGGAGGAGGAGGAGGATGACGATGATAATGATGATGATGATGATGATGATGATGATGATGATGATGATGATGATGATGATGATGGATGATGGTGGTGGTGGTGGTGGTGGTGGTGGTGGTGGTGGTGGTGATGATGATGATGATGATGATGATGATGATGCTGATGATGATGATGATGATGCTGCTGATGATGATGCTGACGATTGTGATGATCCTAGTGATGATGATGATGCTGATGATGATGATGATGCTGATGATGATGATGATGATGATGATGATGATGATGATGACGATGCTGATAAAGATGCTGCCGATGCTGATTATGCTGATGATGCCGCTGATGATGAAGCTAATGATGGTGATGATGGTGATGATGGGCTGATGATGAGGTTGACGATGCTGGTGATGATGCTGCTGATGCTGATGATGCTGATGATGCTGATGGTGATGACGATGATGTTGATGCTGATAATGCTGCTGGTGATGATGCTGATGATGATGAGCATGCTGATTATGATGCTGATGATGCTGATGGTGACCATGCTGATGCTGATGTTGCTGGTGATGTTGATTTTGGTGATGTTCATGATGATGATGCTGCTGATGATGATAATCATGATGGTGGTGGTGATGATCATGCTGCTGCTGCTGCTGATGACGATGCTGATGATGATGCTGGTGGTGATGATGGTGGTGATGCTGCTGATGTTGCTGATGCTGCTGATGATGCTGGTGCTGATGATGCTGATGATGCTGCTGCTGTTGATGAAGTTGATGATGATGCTGATGATGATGCTGATGCTTATGCTGCTGGTGCGAAAGAGCGTTTTCTACCGCTGCTGGCGGAAAACCGGGGGGGGTCACTGCCGGTTCGAACCCCCCCCCCCTCCTCCCCTTCCGGAAAACCGGGGGGGGTCACTACCGGTTCGAACCCCTCCCCCCCCCAGTCCATCATGAAAAGGGGGGGTGGGTCACTACCGGTTCGAACACCCCTCCCCCCTCTCGAAATCCCGGGGGGGTCACAACCAGTTCGAACCCCCCCCACCCCCCTCGAAAACCGGGGGGGGTGCGGACAGTGGTGGGGACGGTGGTGGTGGGGATAGTGATGAGGGGACAGCGGGACAGTGGTGGGGACAGTGGGACAGTGGTGGGGACGGTAGTGGTGGGGACAGTGGTCAGGACAATGGTGGGAACACTGGGGACAGTGGGACAGTGGTGGGGACGGTGGTAGTGGGGACAGTGGTGCGGGGACAGTGGGAACGTGGTGGAAACAGTGGGACAGTGGAGGGTACAGTGGTGGTGGGGACAGTGGTGAAGGCGGTGGCGAGGACGGCGGTGGGACAATGGGACAGAGGTACAGTGGGGACAGTGGTGGGGACAGTGGGGACAGTGGTGGGAACAGTGGGACAGCTCAGTGGGACAGCGGAGCAGTCAGTGGGACAGCGGGGACAGTGGGGATAGTCGGGCAGTGGTTGGGGCCGTGGAGAAAGTGCGGAGAGTGGAACCGTGGTGGGAAGAGTGGTGGGGACAGTGGGGACAGTGCGACAATGGTGGGGGCACAGGTGGGGACAGTAATTAGGGACGGTGGTGGAACCAGTGGGGACAGTGGTGGTGAGGACAGTGGTGCTGGGAACAACAGTGGGGGATGTGGTGCGGACGGTGGTAGGGACCGGGAGTCGTTTGCTGGCGGTGAGGGGGGGGGGAGGGGTTCGAACCGGTAGTGACCCCCCTCTGGTTTTCGAGGGGGGGGGGTTCGAACCGGTAGTGACCCCCCCCGGGGGGGTCCCGTAGTGAGAGGGAGGGGGGGTTAGGGGAGGGGGGGGTTTTGCCGGGGGAGGGGATCGGGGGAGTTCCAGCAGGGGGGGAATTTTCGGAAAGGGGGGGGGGACCCCCAGGTTCCGGAGGAAGAGGGGGGGAATTTTCCACAGTAAAGCGGCGGTGGATCACGCTCTCTCGCTGGTGCTGATGATGACAATGATGATAATGATGCTGATGATGATGCCGATGACGATGCTGATGATGATGATGGTGGTGATGATGCTGATGATTATGCTGATGATGATGATGCTGATGATGATGCTGATGATGATGGTGATGATGATGATGCTGCTGATGATGCTGATGATGAGGAGGATGAGGATGATTATGCTGATGATGACGATGATGATGATGCTGATACAGATGTTGATGCTGATGTTTCTACTGATGATGATAAGGAGGAGGAAAAGGGGGAGGACATCGAGGACGGTGATGATGATGATGATGATGATGATGATGATGATGATGATCTTGATGCTGATTATGATGGTCATGATGATGATGATGCTGATGCTGATGATGCTAATGATGATGCTGTTTCTGATGATGAGGAGGATGAGGAGGATGGTGAATCTGATGATGATGATGATGATGATGATGATGATGATGATAATGATGACGATGATCATGATGATGATGATGATGATGATGATGATGATGATGATGCTGATGATGCTGATGATGCTGATGATGATGATGATGATGATGATGATGATGCTGATGATACTGCTGCTGCTGATGATGATGATGAGGAGGAGGAGGAGGAGGAGGAGGAGGAGGTGGAGGGGGAGATGAAGGAGGAAGAGGAGGAGTAAAAGGAGGAACGCTGGCCCAGACAGGGGACATGTTGAGTTTCGTAGTGGCCTTCGTGTTGAGCTTTCGGGCTACGTATTGCAGGCCGTCGCGCGTATTGCGTAGGGAGCGTTGGTGCGGTACGTGTTGGCCTGCGTTTGGGCCAGTGTATGCAGCCCTTTTCACGTTTTGAATCTACGTGCCGGATTGCGGAGTGCGTCCCAGGGCAGCTAAGAAGAATCGGCGATGTATCGCCGATTCCAGGTCGATGTCCCCCTCTTGAACCAGTCCCCCCCTGACGTCGTCTCTCAGCGATGTCCTGCCTTTCGGTCAGGTTGCATGGGTGTTATGTGCTCGCGCTCGCTGTCGCCTCAGGGATCCTGGGCGTTTGCCTGCGGATCTGCGATGTTTTTTTGGGGGGGTCCGCACCGCAGTGTTAGCAGAAAGCTTGGCGCATTGACGTCCGTCCGCGCCCGCACTTCTCACACCACCACGCTTGGCTGCCATGCCAATGAGAGCGGGGTGCTGAAGTGTGAACGCTTGGGGGAAGGGCTTGAGGGAGAGGCACCTGTCTCACTCGCCGAGGAAGCCTTCCCAAGGGGGCTGGCCAATTCAGCAGATAGTGCCGCCGGCCGATTCTGCGGGCCTCTTCGGCGCGATGGAACGGATGCTCAGATCCTGTGGCAGGGGTCCGATCCCGGCGCTGGGGCACGACTCCGCGGACGAGGGCGGCGCCAGGCACCGAAGAAGAAGAAGAACATACTAATAATAGTGGTAGTGGTAGTAATATAATAAAAGGGAGAATAATAAGAACACTATTGCGAATAATAGTAACACTATTATTAATAATAGTAATGATGATATGAATAAGAATAGCAATACTTATAACAGTACTAGTGCTAATAGTGATAATACCTACTAATCCGAAGAAGCATCGGAGGTTTTGCGCAGGTTAACCGGGATCGGCGGCGAGCCTCCCTCGCTGCGCTCTCCCAGCGCCGCGCCGGGTGCGCCTCGCCGGGTGCCCGCGCCGCTCCGGGCCGGACCCTCCTCGCGCGCCCCCCGGGGGGGGCCTTCTGCCGATCTCGGGAGGCAGAGGCTGCAGAGTCAGCTCGCCGCCCAGACGGCGGAGCGGGAGGCGGCCGAGGCGGAGCGGGACTCGCTCGCCGCGCAGCTCGGGGCGGAGCGGCAGCTGCTGCGGGAGGCCCTGGACGGCCGCGACGAGGGCCTCGCCGCGGCGAGGGCGGAGCTCGAGGGCGCGGCCTCCCGCGCCGAGGCGCTGGCGGCCCGGTGCGCGCAGCTGGAGGATCGGAGAGGAAGCAATGGCGGAGGCACGGGCATTCGGAGCTCCGCGCAGGGTGCTTGGACTTGCGCTCCCGCCCCCCCTCCCTGGCGCGCCCGTGCGCGCCGAGGGCCGCGCCAGAGGCGCCGCCAGGGGGGGCCCAGCGGAGCCGCTTCGCCCGAGGGGTGGCCGCCGAGGAAGAGCACGGCACGAGCAGAAACTCCGGGGGGGCTCCGCGCGGTTTTCGCGGATCTGCGCGGGGCTCCCCCTGGCGCGCTGCAGGGAGGGGGGTTTCCAGCGCCGATCCACGAGATCTGCCCGGAGCTCCGAAAGCTTGTGTTCATGCCGTCGTGTCTTCCCCCAGTGTTGTGCTGCCCCCATCGTACTTGAGGACCCCGTCCCAGGAATAATTTCGAGCACCCAGAAAAGTACCGACACAGTATCGAGCGAGCATCGCCTCTCAGGGCCCGACGCCCCGACGCATGAACACCCTCAAGGTTCGATGCTTTCTTGGTGCTCGAAATTCTTTCTGGTGATCAAGGCTAAAGTTAAGTCGGGCCCGTCCCTCTACAGGAGGAAACTTTGAAAATAGTAAAAAAATAGCCTGGGGACTATTCTCTGATCATGTTTGGGCATTCTGGGAGTATGTTTTGAGCATTTGAGGCTGCAGCAGGCTGGAACATCACAGCCCCGGAGGAGCAGATGGAGCCGCTGCTGCAGCCGGGCCTCGGGCAGCACGGGTCCCCCGGCGGCAGCCCCGACAGCCGCCGCCCGCGCGGCAGCGGGGCGGGGAGCCCCCTGGCCGTGCGGGCCGTGCGGAGCGACCCGCGCGCTCCCACGGCCACCCGGCCGTCGAGCCCCGGGCGCGCGCCGGGCGGGGCCCGGAGCCCGAGCAGCGAGGGCGGCGCTGGCTCTCGAGAAAGAGGGAGCGGCAGAGGCACAGGCTTTCGGAGCTCTGCGCGGACTGCTTGGGTCGGCTCTGGCCCTCCCCCCCCCTATGGCGGCGCCTTTGGCGCCGCCCCCGGCCCGCTCTGCGCGCCAGGGAGGGGGGCCCAGCGCCGACCCGAGCAATCCGCGCGGAGCTCCGAAAGTTTGTGCTCATGCCGCTGGTTCTTCGTCAAGGTTCGCCTTCGACGCACGCGGTCGTGGAGGCGGCCCCGAGCCTGGGCGAGGAGCCAGCGAGCATCGAGCTGACCGAAACCGACGACGAGGGCCACCCTGCCGCGGCGGCGCAGAGCCTGCCCCACGCCCTGAGGAGGGCCGTCGTGCGCGGCGCCGCGGCGGAGCTGATCAGTGTCCTGGACGCGGAGAGCATGGGAAGTCGTGGCTCGGTCGAGGCCCTCGACGACGGGCGCGCTACCAGACGCACGTCGTCTCTCAGGGATCGGCTCGAATCTGCTGTCTTCGACCCGGTCCGAGACCTGAATCCACGGGAGCGCCAGGTGCTGATCATACGGTCGTTCCGGCATCTGCCCGCGGAGGAGGTCAAAGCGGTGGCACAGAGCATCGGCGAGAAGGCCCACAGAGCGATCCTCTCCAGCGTGTTCGAGGACGTGAACCTCGCAGAGCTGAAGCACTGCGCCGAGCTCCTGAGCTACGTGTCTCGGGGCCCGTGCGGCGCCCAGTCTCCTCTGAAGGCCTTCGCGGCGGGCCTTGACGGCGAGGCCGCTGCGGAGCTCTGCAAGAATCTCCTCCACCGCTTGAGCTGGGAGGAGGTCTCGTCGACGGTGGCATCCTTAGAGATGGGAGCGAGGAGGAGCATCTCCAAGCGCGTGCTCTGCCAAGAGTCTGACGGCGTCGCCGTCCAGACGGACGAGTCCTTCGCTCGCAGGTCCAGCTCCTGCAGGTCCAGCTCCCTCCTTCCACAGTCCCAGAGGCCCACCGTCGCGTCGTCGCTCGCGACCATTGGCCCAGCCGCCGCCGAGTGCGTGGCCGTGCAGACGGACGCACCGCACTGGGCACCCGGTCCTGGCAGCGCGGCCGCAGCGCCGCAGGCTGCCGCCGCGCCGGAGCACGGCAGCAGCGCCTCGAGGCGCCGCGAGGAAGCGCCGGCGCCGCTGGCTACCCTGGAGCCCTTGGCCGCCGCCGAGGGCCTCGCCGGGCGCCTCTCGCAGGCGCACGCGCTGGACGCCGCTCTGCCGCCGCCCGCGGCCGGCGCCCGCGGGCCGGGGGCGGGCGCCCCGGAGCTGCCGACGCCGGCCTTCGGAGCCCGCGAGCCGCTGTCGCCCAGCTCGGGGCCGGAGCCCTGTGTCGGCTGCGGCACGCCTGGCAGCAGCCGCGGGAGACGCCGCGCGTCCAGCGCCAGTCGCGGGCGTGAGCCCACGCGGGAGGGCGCAGGCGCCTCGCCCGAGGAGGTGACCGCCGAGGAAGTGGGCGTTGGAAAGGTAGCGTGCAGCATCGATCTCTGGAAAGGAAGCGCGCCATCCCTGGGAGGCGATCCCTCTCGCGAGGGCCCCTTCCTGTGCACGTCATCCCCCTGCCAGGATTTCTTCGGTGCACGCTATCCCCAAGGTGTGGGATAGAGAGAACTCGGGCATTGACAGAACGTCCACCCAGACCGGTCGACAGGAAATCTGCACCAGCTCACCAAACGTTGGCATCCGAGTGTGCACGTGCAGGCCCTGGTTGGCTTCGCTAAGCGACGTGCGTCTTGCCGGATACGCACGGCTGACTTCGGACGTCGCGTCGCTATCCCGCTGGGGTGCAGTCGGAATGCGGTGCCGTGCGCACGTGGAGTGCACCTGGCAGCCTGCACTGAAGGGTGTTCTGCCCCCCGCAGGGCGACGCCTCCTCCTCCTCCTCCTCCTCCTCCTCCTCCTCCTCCTCCTTCCCCTCCTCCCCCTCCTCCTCCTCCTACCCCTCCCCCTCCCCGCGGATTTCTTGAATCGGCGCTCGGTCCCCCTTGCGGGGCCCCTGGCGCTGTGCGGGGCGTGCTGGAGGCGCGCCAGGGAAGGGGGGTCCAGCGCCGATCCAGGACGTTCGCGCGGAGCTCCGAAGGTTTATGATCATGCCGTTGGTTCTTACTCCAAGGAAGCCGCCGTCGCGACGCTCAGCGACCCGCGGTTCCAGAGGGCCGCTCACAGGGTCTCGCTCGTGTGGAAGGCGCCTGCGGCAAGTGACCACCGCCCCCTGCCTTCTGGAAACGCCTGCGTGTTCAAACGTCGAGGGAAGGTGCGGTCATGCGAGTGAGCTGCGTGTCCCC